CAGTCGAATTCAAGTAACTATCGATCGAGTCCTCAATGATGACACTACACTGGCCGATAGAATTAAAACATTGTTCAGAGAACAGTGAAAAACAATTGCCAGTATTTTAACCGCGTTGGGATTTATTATATCGACTTTGACTCTCGCGTTAACCGGTGGCACAGGTGGTACAGGTGGTGGCGGATCACCCCCTACATCTGATGGTATAAAAGAGTGGATAAAAAAGCATTTAAAAGTATTAGGTTCAGCACTCGGAAAGCTCGCTGAAAAGCCGCGGCTGCACTTCCCGGTATAATAGGGAGTGTTGTTTCCTGGCTCTTGAATTTATTAGCTAAGACCACCACTTGGCTTAGTCAAAACTTGTGGGCACTGATCGTAGCAACTGCAGGGCTGTTGTACGTATCCGCTAAGAACTATTTAACCAAATCAGTTCGCTAACCAAATCATGAGTAAACCAGCCGCGACTCCACCTAATACAAGCGCTGTTTTTTCATCGATATTTTGTTGATTTTTAGCCGCAATATGCGGTGGCACTTGTGCGTCAGTAGATGGTTGAGCGATAGTTGGTGTTTGTGACTTGACTATTCCCTTTTTGCCTGTGATTGTTTGCGTTATTAATTTGACGTTAATATCTGAATTTATACCTGGGTTTTGTTGATCGGTAGCAATAACAATTTTATTATTATAGCCTATCACTTGATCGATCTTAAGTTCCATATTACTCGGAGACATGTATAATCCCGGCGCATAAACGTAGTCCACTTTGGATTGAGCGTACTGTAATACATCTTGAAAACGTTTTATAGAAGATGGTATGTCAACTGGTGAATTAATTGCGTCCTCCACGTATGCGACAAACTGTTTTTGCGCATCGAACGCCGTCCCAGTACCGATAATGGACGTTCATGTTTGCGATTGTGCACCGAGAATTGCCCATACATAAGTTATTATCGATTCATTAACTCTTTCAAATCCAGGGTTAGTAAAATTATTTTCCGTTTTATCATTAAGAAATTCATTCCAAGCATCTCCAGGTGGTTGCTCAACCTTTTGGACATGGAAAGCAACACCACCCTTAAAGTTCATACGATCAACTCTCCACTCGTTACTCAAGAGAGCAAAGCTCGGAAGAAGCCGACCCCTTTTCAGTAAATCATCGCTGACTTCTTTAACAGAGTGTGCACCAGCGTACGGAATACCTAGACCATGGTTAACTTCTTTAATACGCCAATCTTTACTCGTAGAAACATTAAATTCATTACAAATACGTTCGAAGGCCGTCTTATCATAATGATTATTTGTGGAATTCCACGCTGGATCCAGCGGTAATGGAGAACTAATTTCTTTAAGTATACGTCTAATCTGATAGTACACGTGAAATAATATAACAGACTTATATAGTTTAAATCCTGGGGCATTAACAGATACGCCACATCCCGTTGTGGCACACCATATGGCAAAGTTTAACTGATTCTGCCAAAATTGCATCTGATGGTGATACCAGTTGTGTATGATTATATAGCTAGTATATATCAGGGAATTTAACGAAAAATTCAGCACCAGAGGCAGTTACTATAATCGATTGATTAGTAATGTAAGTTGATTTCATATTTAAGTTATGATATAGTATCATTGTATATTTAATATGTATGTTACACTCCCGGGAATAACAAATGGTCAGTCTATTGAACTGCTTCATACTATCGATAACTCGGATGGACAACTCGAAGTCGCTCTATGCGATGTAACGTATTACACGCTGTGGACCAATATAAATGCTGCGAAAAGAAATAATGAGATGTTGGTATTAGGTGAAAAAAATATTATTGACAATTCCATTACTATACCTGATGGGTATTACAGCGTATGCTCACTCAATGATGAAATTTTTAAGCCTAATGGTATGAGTATCACACAAAATGAGTCGAATGGGACAGTGAAAATATACACTGGAGAAAAAGGTATTGTATTTATTGACGAGAACTTAGCAATTACACTTGGATTTGGACAGTCAGTAACATTACCACCCAACAAAACAGTGAATGTATATATATTGCCCGATTTAGTTCCCTATAAAGAGTTGTGCATCCATCTTGATCAAATAAGCATGACGGATAATATTCAACTAGAAAGTCCTTCAACTCTGCTCAGATCTATTCCAGTGAAAAATGAAAAATATAATAGCGGTAGAACGGAATCTTTCTCGTCATTACAATATAAAAAATTAAAGCGTGGTATTATTTCAGACCTCAAAATTTCTGTATTAGATGTAAAACACCAACCTGTACATATAGGATACTTAAGTGTAACACTCCATATTATAAATAATGGTTGATGCATCAGGCCCTGGAACGCTCAGACAATGTAATACAATTGCGCTTTCCGATCTCGGAGACACAGAAGGATTCGGTAAACCCGGTACCGATGGTAAGTTATATGCTTTAAACTTACACAATAACGTATACAAGCGGAAAGAAGTTACATTCACGGGTAATCTAGAAGATTTAAGCGATGTCGACGTTGTTAGTAGACTCCTTAAGAAAAACACTTCGTACAATCTTACTCACAACAATGATAATAAATGGACTATGGTCGAAACAAACATCGAGTGGCTATTGAATATCGTCATTACCCCACCGTATGTGATGATGGGTAAGGCACATAATTTAACTAAGATAATAAATAGTGGCATCGTACTCGCAGCTTATATCCCATCAAAACGAAAAAGTGTGTTAGTCTCTCCCCTGCCAGAAAACCCAGGTCATATGTTATATAGTCGTCTGGCAATCCAAACATTAGTTTAAATTTGGTTACTGAATTCAATGAAATTAAACTTAACTTGAGTGCAAAACCTAATCTTTCTACTCTTATTATTGAAGTCTTGTTCGGAGATGTACCGGTAGATGCCTTCGAAATATTACCAGGTCTATCGATTAAATTGCTCAAGAAACACGAGCGTCAACGTTGCAGTTTTATTCATATCGGAGCATCGCCCGTTGCAACCCTCGAGGGGGTCCAAATTATTAAAAGTGGTAGTATTTCTCTTACTAAGATATTCTTGCCGTATAATATACATTTGATAAGGTTGATGTATACTCTCAAAACATTTAAGCAAGACCAATTAAAGACTATTATATGATCGTAATATACACTATGGGTTTATATCCAGCGCTCGATGAAGCATTTGAAAAGATGGAAACTGTTGATGGATTTCGATTACATCAAATAAGCGACATAAAACATCGAATAGAGAAGGATAGGGAGTTGAGACTTGGATTGTATAAAAAGTATCGCAGAGCCGTGAATGCTCTCGACGGAGTTGACACCGCACTTCTAACAGCTGGCATGGGACTCGGTGTAGCCGGTGACGTTTACTATCAACTATAATCGCCGCGCCTATCGTGCTCGGCATGGAAATAGCTGCTGGAGTCTCGGGACTGGCAGGAATAGCGATAAAATTCATTTCTCGTAGGTTACAAAAGAAAGCATTAAAACACAATAGTATTCGGATACTCGCCGAAGCAAAGTTGAACAGCATTGAGGATCATATTTCGACAGCAATGGTCGATTGTAAGATATCCGAGGATGAGTTTCGTTTAGTGCTGTCGGAACTCACCAAATACAACGCAATGAAGCAGGAGATTCGATCAAAACCTTGTAAGACCAATGGTATTAGCGAGGACGAGAAAAAAAAGTTCAGGCAACAAGCGCGTCAATTATTCCGTGCCAAAACTAAAGAACTGGTTGGAGATTAAAAATAGATTGCTTACTATCGTTAGATCACATTTAGACAAATGCTCACATAAATATATATAATAATGGAGACAACAATCGAAAGAGCTATTAAATGGAGAGAATTACCACAAGGTTTTTATTATATCAGTGATGTTAAACCAACCAAATACGGTTATCAATTGTTTCTTATCAATTTACAAGAAGAGTGTAGTTATATAGTCTGGTCTCCTAGTAAAATGAACGAAGAACTTAATAAAAATGTTGAATATCGCTTTATTGATAAAAATAATACAGAATATTTTCATTACCATTTAGGCTCATCTAAAGCAATGATTGGCCCCAGGTATTGGTGAGCTGGAGTCAATATAACTTAATCTTATGACTATCATTGAATCGCATAATCATTTTGGCATAAAAAATGCCACCTGTAGTAGCAGTATAGGTATATAAATCTGGCTCCAGTGGAAGTGGTCCAGAACCCCCATTACCTATACTACTTCACCCTCATATTTCAATATGGCTGCATAATGTCCGTCTGGACCAGAAAGTGGGCACATTGACACCCATGTCTGGCAGTCGATTATCAGCAGCTGTCAAAAAGGAGAGCTTCTGTTACATTCCTGTGAGAGGAAACAGGGCTAAACGCTTCGCCACGAAGGTCAGAGGTCGTATCCTGGTTAACCCTTCGTGTTGATTGCGATCTGGCTTAAAATGTCGTCTGTCAGCCATTGTTACGATAGCAACAAACAGTTGTACTGCATACACAACAGGATGGCAAAGGATTGTGTAGATTTCCTTGGATGACCGTGATTCGTAATGACAGCTGAGAGAACAATGGAAACAGCTAAACGACATTGAGGCTCTTGTTGTTAATATAGAAAAACAAAATGCCGTCACATCCGTAGTACTGCGCATGCCCGGAGAAAAAATATATTGCATTCTGGGATAGAAAATAGTAACTTGATACAGAGAAGAAATGTGATCGTTCACGGATGATTCTGAATGATAAATGACAACTGGAAATAAATGGAAAAACCTTACGTAGGTAACAAATATATACATCTGTTGTGTAGACATCAATGTTAATAATAGGTGAAAGGATATGTTGATCATTGCACAAACAAAAATATAAAATTAACATTTAATGACTTAGTTTAGGTACATACAATCATTATTGATGTCAAATAAAAGATAATAGACATAAAATTGTTTGAAGCTAAGTAGTTAAGCATCGAGAGATGCTGTTGAGTAAAGAGCAGAGTTACCGAAAGTATTCCTGAGTGGTCACTCTGACAGGCTATTTCCTGCTCTGTCTCCGATACCTCCAGAAGACAGTGACCGCCCACTAATCGAGACAACTCCCCCACTACTGTCACATGCTTAGAAACAGTGCCAGACATCTTCTTGAACTGGGGATAGTTCTCCACAAACGCCTGCCAATGACAAACATAAAAAAGATGGCGGTCAGTGTATCAAGATCATGCATTGTTTTCTGATGAATGGCGTAGAGATATTTGTACTTTTAATATGCGACAAAAATTCAACATCTTGTCATCTTCCCAGCGGCAAGGGAGTTAACTGACTGTAAAAGTGCAATTTCCACCGAAAGTAGGCTTGAATTTCTGGGCTATTACGATTTATGTCCCTTCTATGTCCCTCCTATTGCCCAATCAGATTCCATCTCTCATATCACTTGCATTTGCTATAAACAAAATGGCGGTGCCCAGTCGAGACAATCTGATCGATAATCAAAATCTCCATTGTAATAAAATGGGTCTTACTTCATTAAGTGCATCAAATCATTTAAAGACCGTAATAAAAAACATGAAAGGATCTGCAAAATATCTATTGACGCCAATTAGGCAGTACACATGCTTTTGCAAATCCTGCAGTTGAAATCCATGTTGTTTACAAACCGGATGTCTTGTTCGTCACAGGATTTTGATTGGACTATTGCATAGACTCGTTTGGCCAGACAAAATGTAACTCCAGAATTCCAGCCTAGTTCGTCAAGGGTGGACACTAGATTTTTATAGTATCGGGATATGAGCAACTATTAGCAATCAAACAATGCAATATTATTCAGAAAGTACTAATCATTTCATACTACCCTGACACTCTCGGCAAGTTTCAGAGGAATTGACTCTCATATCACTTGAATTTACTTCAAACAAAATGGCGGCGGACAGTCATGTTGATAGAGGATATTTAATGTGTCGAGTGAATTATCATGTTTCTCTCATCGAGTGGAGATATCACCTTTTTCCCCGTTACAAGATGTCATTATATACGTTTTGTGCAGTTGTCTAACGGAAAATTAAACTAGTTCATTACAAATGTAAAACCTTGAAATGTCAATTCTCCCTACCTGACACACAGGGACGGTTTACCACCCCTTGTATTTGCGACTTAAAAAGTAGTTTCGTGTTTGCAAAATCTTAGAAAATATAAACAAAAGTATCAAAACATATTATGGGTCACGATAATTCTTTTTAATACAATTCAATATGATTATATACAAAATCAACTTTAACAAAAATATTCTTGCTGGATTGATGAGTTAAATGAGAGATTAACAATTTATAACAAAACATTTTCGAGAGAAGAATAAACGGCTAGAAGTGATCTCAACTCCATAAATGACAATCCATCATTATTTTGTATTGTCAATGTGGAACTAACGTAAAAGAATGTCAACAGTTTGTGTATGGGTTAGTCACTTACAACAAAGGGAGACAATTAAAGGGGAAGTAACCTTTGTATGACAATAGTTCTGTCAAAGTGTTATGTTCACTGCAGTGAAATATTGAGTGTTCACTGCTGTGCACTTGAGTTCATATTTGCGTGCCTTAAACAAACTTGAATCTCCATATAAGCATTTATATTGTACAGAAAATTTTCAGCTTTCTGCACCTTTTGGTTCATAAGAATAAGATTTTTACCCATTTTGTAAAATAACATTTTTAACAACTTTTAAGCAAAAAAATTAAAACAATATATGAGCTAGAAAGATGTCTGCATTACATACAAACACATAAGCAACCCCATCACTGCCTTTGCCTAAATGCCCCAAAACACCTACACCCTGACAGTTGACCTTACAAACATTTTTATATTGGGATATTTCTCAAATATTTTTTATCTCTAACCACTTGACCTACTGGCAACTTGACTTACCTTCATGTCAGCAATAGATTCCACTTTTGCTTGACTTTTGGATTTCTTCTGAAATTCTTCCATCAACTCTTTGATATTTGATCCAATCTCTCCAAAGTTCACATACATATTCTGTGGTATAATACAAGTGCATTTAGAGTAGGGCTTATCATACATGCTGATCATTAACACACATGTCAAGTTGAAGAGATATGTTTACTTACATTGGCATAAAACTCATCATGTTCAGCAGACAACACCACTTCTTGCAAGTCCTTAGCAATGCCCGGGACGCTGGCTAGATTTATACGATTGTTGTTGATAGCCAACAGCTCATGCACCATTGCTTGGTAGGTCCACTGTAAACATAATGTATGCTTACGGAACACAGTGGAATACATTTTTCATAATTTTCTTCTTTCATTCGCCATATTCCCATACTTTATTCAAGAACAGCAAATCAACCAAAACCAAATAGCTCACAATTCACAAACCACAGATCAGAGACCTGGAGAGAAGCACTTCCGATTTTCCTTGAAGTGTATGAACCAATCAGTCTGTTTTTCGGTCCTAAATCAGTAACACTCCCTTGCATGATTTGTATACTGTTTTGGAGCATTGAAGTGAAAAAATGTTTCAGCTTACAAGCAGAAAACAATCTGACATTAGCTTTACATGTCAGTGTTACCAAGGACACACTGGGCTTTGTAGTGATCTCTGCAATGGTCTACCAATATCTGACAAGGCAAAAGGCTGGCTGAATGTGAAAGACCAGAGATGACAAAAGGGAGACAACACAACTTGGAGTCTTGTTTCAAATGACCTAAAATGGGAAATTGGAACCCTGGGGAGACACAGGGATTGATTTGAGCCGTGATTCTGCGATATTCTCACATAGTTGTCATAAATATCCCATCAACATTAATTCAGATTGGAAATTGCGTTCATCTTTCAACAATTTCATCTGCATCAACACTCTCATTTTCTCCAACAAAATTCGAATATGTCATATTGCTTGAAAGAATTATCTACCGTACCTAAAAATGTAATTAAAAAAAACTTACTCGCCAGCTTATTTAATCGTCAAAACTTGTCAACTGAACAACTGCATACAACACTTTGGGTTCCCAGGCCACCCACATGAACTGTTGGAGAAGTCACTACCTGAACTGTTTTTATGTTTATTTGCCTCATTACATGATAAGGTAGAGATGATGGGTGACAGGTGAACTCCAGGTAACAATTAAACAGTGATGTACTGAATGTTTATTACTGGTATGGTCACCTGGTTCAGAAGTGGAGTGATGGCATCATCTCGACGGTCCAGGATGAGGAGCACTGGAGCCACATCAGTCTTTCTAAATTCAAACAGAGCTGCTTCTTTGTTGATCACTTGCTGAAAGACAAGGAGGAGGACATATTCTTTCCTAGAAAACTTCACCGGAGAGGTCATGTAGGAAATGTCATCAATGGAGAGCTCAACTCAACAGAGTTCAATGGAGCTAAAACTTGAATTCCACCAAAACTTTGTTTTTCCACAATTTCAATGTTCAGCTCATGAAAGTAATGTTACAAAACTAAAATGTTGATTTAAAACCACTTCCTAATTGACAGTACATTCATCATGTTCATAACAACGCAAATTGAGCCACAAGGCTCTGTAGCTCACCTGGCTTATGAAGTAATATTTTCATGACACTTCAATATTATTTTGGTACAAATATCTATTGTGAGTTCTGGGAGGAAAACATGCTGGGATAAAAAAGAAAGAATTATATTTGCCTCCTTGAACAAACATATTTTACAGTCATTGCATGCAAATGAACTCAGCCAGTTGCCCTGTGGTGCTAAAGAGCAAGGTTCTAAAACATTTTGTAAATTTGATTTTCAAATTACCAATATGAAATTTCTGCATGATCTTGTTGCCACATAAACATGACAACATGTAGACAACAGTTCCTAGGCTGTGTGTTGTAGCTACGGACAATATATGCATAAGTGGTGGTTGTCAAGATCACAAATAATCTTGTATATATTAATTAGTTGTTAGTAATTTAGATAGAGGTATTATGGTATGGTTAAATTAGTATATTAAGCTTGGGGTTTGTGGAAACAGGTTAGATTCAAGGAAGCGTGACTGGGTACAGGGGAAGCTTGGGTAATGGAGGTCAGTTTAAATAGGGGGTCAGAGTAATAATCTGCACAGTCAGCCACAATCAGTATAGTGTTCAGACAGGGCATGGACTGACATTGTGGAAGCTGTTTACTCTGGTTGGTGTAAGTTTTTGCATTTATTTGTTTCATGTAGGATTGTATTTCAGAGTATAAAATTTTAATGCATTGTTTTCAAATGTAATTATATGCATATATTGATTGTAATAACGAGAAGCAACACTAAAAAACAAGAACCCAAAACAACAACACATGATCAAAGTATAAACAGTTCCACTCAGTGAAATGTAAATCAGAGAATGGACGCATTGTTGTATGTATTGTAAGGTATTGACACGTACCTAAGTGACTGAAGTTGCTAATATTATATGTTTTAGTCTGTTTGCAGTCGTACAAATGGGTATCTCTCATATCCTCACGTCTAGTCACACGTTTAAAAGGAAGCCAGAAGCTGGAATGTAAACATTAAACTTGTTTCCGTTGTTTGCTTGGCTATCTAACTTTCTGCCTGAGTTATCACAAGACGATGACAAACCGACGCGTGCGGGCTTTAAGGTCAGAGATACACCATTGTCTCTTCAGTTTTCTCCTCCCGATGCCTTCAGAGCCATGGCTCAAGATATGGACCAGAACTTTGAGTCTGCTCTGCCTGGGCAGAGTTTCTGTACGCCGCCTGGTCGATCTTGTTACCCGATTTATGGCATGCCGTTTTCGTCAACCATGAGTAGGGACTTGGATTGGGGGCTACTCTTCAAGAAATCAGCACCCTCCAAGATTCTAGTAGAAGACAGGCATTTGGAATCCATGGACACTGCTGTTCGTCACCAGCTATAACTGCTTGCTATGCTGTCGACAGCAATCAAGGCCCTCTCAGTGTACTTTGAGGAGAAAGAACCCCAGGACTAGGAAGACAGGACTACGGCACGTCGCCATGGTTACATCGACTGCACTGAACTACCTGATCGTCATGGCAGGTCACTCTTACGGGCCCCGTGGTCATCGCAACAGTTGTTTGACGGTCGTACCAACAAAGTTCTGGACAAGTACTCCAGGGAAGCGGAGTGTGACATCATCATTTCGGCTTCACACAACCTGTCCAAACGGCCACCGGTTTCGAACGCCCCACGACGACGTTACCGAAACGAGAATGTGCAACGGGCCTTTCGTAGGGACATGCCTCGACAGCCGTCCCGCAAGAGAGATTCGGACAGGAAAGGTCGCCAAGTCTCCTTTTCCAAGTATCCCAGAGGGGGAAAGAGCCAGCGGGGGAGGAAGTGAGGTCCCTTCCCCCGCCGTCACCATCGTTGGAGTCTCCCCCGTTGACACTACCTTTAGACGGTAGGGGGGAGACTTCACCACTATGCCCACAAGTGGGCTTCCCTCAACGACCCTTACGTTCAGAACATTTTGACAACAGGCTACGTCCCATGCCTGAGATCGACGCCACCACTGACGTGATCCCCGACATTCCACACTCCACCAACGGCTGACGGCTGACGGAGGCCATCGATTCGTTGGTGGAAAAGGCGGCCGTACTTCGCCTAGGGACATCGGCACCATCGCCGGGGTACTACTCGCACATCTTTCTAGTACCCAAGAAAAACTCCACAAAGATGCGGCTTATTTTTAATCTCAAAAAGTTCAACGCAACATACCTCCAACAACCCGACACATTCACCATGATATCCCTCAGCTCTCTGCATCGGATGATATTACCGAACGACTTCCTCGTCTCGATAGACCTTCAGGATGCGTATCTCCATGTACGATAGCTTCCGAGTTCCAGAAGTACCTCCGATTCGTCTACCAAGGTCTTCATTACCAGTGGGCGGCCCTCCCGTTTGGAATTTCTACGGCCCCGTGCATTTTCACACGGATCATGAAGCCGGTCGTAGAATGTCTCCATGGGCAGGCGATCAGGGTTGCCTTCTACCTAGACGACGGGCTCCAAGCTCACCAGTTCACGGGAGCCCTTCAAGAAGAGTTGGCGACCACCCTGAGTCTACTACGGTACCTCAGGTGGATCGTCAAGCTTCAAAAGTCAGACTTGGTACCAACTCTGGATCTACAGTACATCGGGATACGCTTCCAGACGGGGGTCAATCTGGTCACAGTACCTCAAGACCGTTGGGACAAGATTGTCAGCAGCGTTCCGAGACTTCTACATGCCCCGGCGTCGGCGCACACGTGGCAGGAAGTCCTCGGTCTGTTGACATCGGCCCAAGACCTGACTCGCCGAGGTTGTCTTCAACTTCATCTGCTGCAGAGATTGCTGTACCCTCACCTGGAGTTTCCCAATCTCTTGGTTCCACTTCCGACGCAGCTACGTTGTCATCTGGAGTGGTGGCTCCAGCCGTCGAACGTTTTCGAAAGCGTCTTTATGAGCGAGCCTCTCTTCATACTTCACCTATTCGTAGACGCGTCATTTGAAGGCTGGGGAGCGCACTACGGGGACGACCAAGCGGCCGGGCTGTGGTCGCCAGAAGAAAAGGTCCTCCACATCAACTGCCTCGAGATGGAAGCAGTGATTCAGGCGGTCGAGTTCTGGAAACTTCGACCCCGTCGGAAACGGCTGATGATACAGTCGGACAACTCCACAGTCGTCCACTGCATCAACAAACAGGGAACGACTCAGTCGGCGGCCCTTATGGACCGGACATTCAGGTTCTTCGCCCTTGTCCACGACTTGGACATGGACGTACCTGCCCGTCACATCCCGGGGGCCAAGAATGTGATAGCCGACGCCCTGTCGAGACCATCGAGGCCGTCTCCCACGGAGTTGATGATCCATCCGACAGTCTTTCATCTGCTGACAGATCGACTCTGGTTGCCCCAGGTAGATCTCTTCGCAACCCAGTATAACAAACGCCTCCCTCGATTCGGGTCGCCGGTTCCAGACCCACGGGCATGGGAAAACAACGCTCTAGCGATATCCTGGGAGGGTCTAGACGCTTACGCGTTTCCGCCAACGGTGCTGTTACCATCGATACTGGAGAAAGTTCGTCAAACGGCCAACCTCATCTGCTTTTGGTCGCGCCTTATTGGCCGGCCAGAATGTGGTTCCCGGACCTTCTTCAGATCATCGATCAGCCACCGTTCCCGTTGCCATATCGAGACGACCTCCTTCTTCATCCTCACACCGACGACTTGCATCCGGGGATAAAGAACTTCCAGCTTCACGCCTGGGTCTGCTTAAGACCTCGTAAATGAAGAAAGGTTATGCGGCTAAAGCGGCAGCGCTTGTCTCGTTGGCACATCGAGTTACGACTCGTAAGCTGTACAATGACAAGTGGACCACTTTCTCCATTTTCGCCAGGTCTCATGGCTTCAACCCGGCGGTAGCAACCCCATCACAGGTGGCGGAGTTCCTAGTCTATCTCCGGTCATCCCGGCGTCTGAAAGGGTCGACGATCTCGACTTATCTGGCAGCTTTGGCTTCAGTGGTGCTGTCTCCTACGGGCGACAAGCTCACTAAAGTACCGGAGTTGCAGAAGATTCTACGTGCCTTCAGGGTTGAAGATCAGTCACCTAAATTCCGACCGCCGGCCTGGGACCTCGATGTCGTTCTGAGCAACCTGTCTAGTCAGGCTTACGAGCCTCTAGATCAGGTCGCGTTCGACTTATGTCTCAGAAAACGGCTTTCCTTCTCTCGCTGGCTATGGCAGTGAGAGTATGGGAAATACATGCCATTAACGTTGGTCGGATTACGTTCGATCAGCGTAACCATGGCAACGTCCATCTTGGTCTCAGATGGGATTTTTTAGCGAAAAATCAACTTCCTGGCCAAGATTCGAGAATGTTCCACATTCCTTCCTTGTCTGCCATTATGGGCCCTCATGATCACGTTGATCTCACCCTGTGCCCAGTTCGTGCGCTTCGTATTTACCTGCAGCAATCTGAACAGAGACGACAACATTTTCGACGGCTGTTCATACCGCTCTCAACCAATGCAAAGAAAGAGATTACACGTAATACTCTCTCCATTTGGTTGAGAGCGGTAATTCTCAGAGCTTACGAGACGCAAGGACTCGCACTTCCCACCTCCTCTCATCCACACGAAGTTCGAGCCATAGCTTCAACATTAGCACTTCACAGTAGTTGTTCGCTGCAAGCTATTATGGAGGGCTGCTTTTGGAGATCTACTTCAGTGTTTGCTTCGCATTATCTCAGAGATATCTCAACAGAAGATGTTGAAGGACTCAAACAGTTTGGTCCACTCGTGGTGGCACAACAGATCTCTCAGAAAAGACAGTGAATTTGTGCTTTATTCACTTTGGACTTTTTGCTCGACACTTCGTGCCATATAACATGTTACAATAAAAGCTGTTGGTGAATGTACGCATTCTTATGGTTTTTTGTTGCGTGCAGTACTTTTTTATTATGGTTATTCGGTGTATGAATTGTCTTCCCATACTTTTTAGTACTGCTCGTATTTTTTAGTTACCTTGTATACTACGAGTTGCTCTGTAACTAAATTATGCGCCGACCACACATTTCGATTGCAGTTCAACTGACGTGTGCAGTTGTCCTGTCGCATCGATAATTAGTTGTGTGTCGAAGAGCATTAACCATGCTATTTTTAGTTATCTTGACTACGGCGAGTTGTTCTGTAACTAAATTATACGCCGACCACACTTCGATCGCAATTCAACTGACGTGTGCAGTTGTCCTGTCGCATCAATAGTTACTTGTGGGTCGAAGAGCATTAACCATGGTGTTTTAGTTACCTTGTATACTGCGAGTTGCTCTGTAACTAAACTATACGTCGACCACACTTTGATCGCAGTTCAACTGACGCATGCAGTTGTCCTGTCGCATCGATAATTAGTTGTGTGTCGAAGAGCATTAACCATGCTGTGCTTTTGTGATAAACAACTTGTCTCGTCCGTGCATCTGGTCGAATGTTCTATTGTCACTACAGGGGTGAGGAACTTGGTACATTTGACGTGAAAAAGGTCACTTCCCGATTACTTTCACGACCCTCCTTCCAGTGTTCCATCGAATTCTACCCATTTGTACTACTGAAAACAGACTAAAACATGGGTTTTTTCAGATTAAAAACGACGTTTTATTGGTCTGTTTTCAGTCGTACGTTCTAGAATAGTACTAGTAGATTACAAAGTAGCAGTTTACCGCGACAGACTTTCTCGAGCGACCAGCTCAGAGGCGCGCTGAGAGATTTGTGACATGTCATAGGGAGGTGCGTGCACAACCAGACGGAAACAAGTTTAATGTTTACATTCCAGCTTCTAGCTTCCTTTTAAATGTGCGACTAGACGTTAGGGTATGAGATATACCCATTTGTACGACTGAAAACAGACCAATAAAACATCGTATTTAATCTGAAAAACCCAGTGTAGTGTCCCGGAACTGGCTGGTTATCCTTAAAGTCAAGTAAGGATTCAAGAAGAACCTCCGACACTACGTACGGGGAGAAGTATCCCTGTGGCAGTGCGTGACATAGGATGAACACAGCCATGCGACATCCAAGTAACACAGGAACCTTCAACTACATGTGGAAACCATCACCACAAGAGGAAGTATCCTCTTGTGAACTGTACTCATCGGAAACTCTGGAAATTATGTATATAGCTAATGTGAAAGAGACTGTGAAGTGGTGTTGTTGTTGTTGTTTTGTATACATGTACATCCTTGCTATTATTAATTCATTGTGTATATTAGTTTTGTTATTATTAGGACATAAGTATTAGTATTGTGTTAGTATTATTAGAAATAGACTCTTAGTATATGTGTAGTATCATATTGATAGTAGTATTGTCATTGTCAGTAATAAGATATTAGTATTAGTAGTAGATATTAGTATTGTTAGTAGGACATTAGTATTGGTAGAAGTAGCCTAGGATAGGTTAAGCTAGGTTAGTTAATTGTGTTAGTTAATTTGGAATTAGTTTACATATACGTTCACTGGGTTCTATACATAATCTAAGGGAGGCAATAAAATCTTTAAAAAACTTATTTGTGTTCTTGGTTACTTCAGTATATGAAAGTGGTTATGTTTAAAATCTGATCGGAATTCTGTGAGCAGCTTTCACAGACAATATAGTTGGAATCATTCACACAAATTTCATCTCCAAAGGCCTAAACAGCAGACCCGACAGGTGGATGATGGACAGTACACCATAACAAAGGCTCACTTGACCTTCAGTCAGGTGAGCTAAAAATGTACTAATGAAACAGAAATTACGGCCAATCAAACCAACTATCATCTTCCCCAGTCAAGGGCGTTAACTGACTATAAAAGTCCAGTTTACACCCTTGCCGGACTAGACTGGAATTTTTGGGCTCGACAGTAGCACCACCAGCGGCTATTACAATTTATGTCCCTTCTACGTCCCTCCTATTGCCCAATCAGATTCCATCTCTCATATCACTTGCATTTGCTATAAACAAAATGGCGGTGCCCAGTCGAGACAATCTGGTCGATAATCAAAATCTCCATTGTAATAAAATGGGTCTTACTTCATTAAGTGCATCAAATCATTTAATGACCGTAATAAAAAACATGAAAAGATCTGCAAAATATCTATTGACGCCAATTAGGCAGTACACATGCTTTTGCAAATCCTGCAGTTGAAATCCATGTTGTTTACAAACCGGATGTCTCGTTCGTCACGTGATTTTGATTGGACTTTTGCATAGACTCGTTTGGCCAGACAAAATGTAACTCCAGAATTCCAGCCTAGTTGGTCAAGGGTGGACACTGGATTTTTATAGTGTCGGGATATGAGCAACTATTAGCAATCAAACAATGCAATATTATTCAGAAAGTACTAATCATCATCCTACCCTGACACTCTCAGCAAGTCTACGTGCCATTTCAGAGGAATTCTGAAAGCGGATCATTGGGCATTTCTTCAATGAGAGTAAAACAGATGTTAGTCCTTGCACTGTTCTCTGAAGAGCATGTGGTGCCCAAGTCAGTGACTGAAACACATACAGACACTTCAAACAATTCTTGCACTCACAGTTGTGTTGGGAAAGAACTGTGCTTCCTAAAATGTAAAACAATCTATTAGGGACATCATTGATACATCAGTTCCAACCATTGTCAGCAGATGATCACCCAGTTAGTCCATTTATGAAAACACAATTTATTGGTAGCAGGGCTCCAAATAAATGCCATTTCAGCATATGTACGGATGAAAATATGCCTGATACAGTGGGGGATAATTTAGAAAACGTATCAGATATGCATCATGACATACATGTACGGTCTTATATTCAGTTATAGACATATTTCAAAAAAATTACATTCAGATTTCAAGCAGCATATTTCCTACAGTACAGTGTGCATTTTTGTTCCCAAAAACACTGCTGTTACATAAAGGGGGTGCACATTATATATGCCATACCGTATTCGACGTAATAAGCGCCCCGCTCTAATAAGCACCCACGGCGATATTTGCTAATATATTGGCTAGTGAACAATCCCAATCAGCACCCCTTCCGATTGATCAATGTACGCAAGACTTATTTATTCGCACATATTACGCACTCGTGTGTTATATCACCCTTAATTATGGGCAATTAAATTCTTGAAAAATATATCTGTCGTATGTAAACATTTCAGGATGTTTGCATAAACCACGAAATTTACGATCTTTCAACTCAAAATAATATTCTAATAAGCGCCCCCTATTTCTAATTTTGAGAGCGCCCTGGGCGCTTATTACGTCGAATACGGTAATGAGTTTTTATGTTTTTTCCCAATGCAAAGACATTACCGTGAGCATGTAACACCGAAAATACCATGTCAACAAATCCTAACTAAAGTTTTCAAATTAATCATGTAATTACACTGTCTGGTTATAAAAAGTGTTTATTTTTTATCTGGACTTATATTTGTAACCGTTTTTAATTTAATAATTTTATTCAAAATTGCATTCAATATTGTTTATGCTCATTTCAGCGAAATCGCACAACTCACTGTGATTTGCAGCAACCACAGTCAGATAACTGTTTTTGACGCCATGAAATGAATTTTAGTTGACAGAAAATGGATACATATATCATAAATGCCACACTTTGAGTTGTTAAAAGTCATATTTGTTGTAGTTTGACTGTTATATGTCAACATAGAGATTTTGGGAGTGGGGGACGAAATAATATCCGGCAACAGCGTTCAGTTGTACCAAATTTAGTGCTAAGCTTATGGTTATTATGTAAAACATATACAGTAAAGCTGCAACTAAAATAACATATTGGAATATATTATTCTTGATAGAAAAATAGTTTCAGGTATAATTCTTCCAATCACCGCATGAAAATTCTTTAAAATGATATTATTGGGTAATTTTTAACCTATTCACCGGTAGATTGGGAGAAAAATTGTGTACAGCTGATTGCTGTTTCCCGCTTAGTTTATGAGAAAATACACAAACGCTCAGAATATATAAAACAATGCCCAGTAGAATTGGAAATACAATTTAAATGGTAAATCATCATGTCTAGTGATGTTTCATCTCAAATTTTCAGTATGTATTAACCAAATATATCACCTATTCATTATTCGTAATTAGATATTACTTCCAAATGATTTTTAGAAGTTCTGCTCATTACATTTATATCTTTTTCCCCAAAAATACTAAATACCAAAGAAGAGGTGCGGACGATACAATAGACAAACATGTACAAAACAGTATTTATTGTTTATTGACCTGTTTGCACGACTGACAAACTGACAGAAAAATCTGTCCATTAATTTCATTATGATAACAAATTCCAAACATTTTGAAGTTTAATTTCATCACCACAGACTGAAAATGATAGGATTAAAAGAAAGCGAAACTAAAAATTTATTTTTATATTTTTTGGTTAGTAATCCTAGCATAACTAGTTGTCATGTGTTTAGATCTAATGAATTTTTTATCAATCTGTACAATAAATGGTCAGATTTTTCAGTCAATTAGTAAAATGACTGAAATAGTTAGATATTTTATAAATTGCCTAAGTGAATCACAGTTTACATAGTGAAGGTATCAATTACACACCTACAAACGAAAAGGCTTGTGAATGTATTAAAGCTTTGTGAGTACAACTGACATATGACAGATGACTAAACCACAAAATGAAACACTAACTTGATCAATGTGGTGATACGCCCATGTACTACATGTTTATACCATGTGTATAAATAAAAGCGATAAATGCACTTATGGTTGGTGCAGAACAGGTCGCACACTAGTCGAGATTTCTGGGATATCATCCGGATAATCTTGGAAAAAACACAATGACAAAGGCTACAGCCAGTCTTAAAATTTCCGAGATTAGTGCCCCTTTAAACCTCTTCTTGCTGGCAGACCGCCTCCGTGGTCTTGTGGTAGAGCGTCCGCCTGGAGAGCAGAAGGTCCAGGGTTCGATCCCGGGCCGCGTCATACAAAAAGACATTAAAAGATTGTACTTGTTGTTACCCTGTCTGGCGCTCGGCATTAAGGGGCTAAAACAAGGACTGGTCGGCTCGGAGTCAGTATACTGTGTCTGAGTGGGGTATTCATGTTAAACTGCGGCATGGTATCTCAGTGAGCTAGCACTATAAATCGGCATCAATCCGGACTAGTACAAGCAGCCACACACACACATACACGTGCATGCACGTCGCTATATAAGTGCAATAATCTTGGACGCGACGTTAAACCCAATTTCACCTCACCTCTTCTTGCTGGCAATTGCCATATCACTTGAGCTTGTGTTGTTCGTCGTTTTGCAAACTGTATGAATCAACATATCCTAATATGAAATTTCAATCAATTCCATGAATATTTGCAGAGTCTTTGTCCAACAGATCTTTTTGTTTTATAAACTGAAGGAGCAGTGTCCTGAACAAACTTACCTGACAGACACCAGACAGGTTGAGAGAAAACAGATGAGGGTTCACAGCAATATAGTCTCCAAAGAATTCCTGAAGAAGAAGTCATCACACTTAGCAACAGTGATTGGTTGAACCGAACAGAGCTGAGACGGACATGTACACAAGCTGGCCAACTGAAAGTAAGCCTTAACCTCAATGATAATAGAACCCAACTTGAACATATTTGATGAGGTTCATTGTTGACTTAATAGGTATTTGCATTACATACAAATACATAGGCAGTCCCATCGCTGACCTTTTCCTAAAGGCCTCCAAAACCTTTCCACCATAAAACTGTCACAAACCATATATCTGTTGTTTTGTCTGATCCATAATGATCCCTAATGCTGTCAAATGCAAATTTATACATCTAGCCACCACCCCCTCCCCCCTCCCCCCTCCACCACCACCCCCCTCCCCCCCTCCCCCCTCCCCCTCCACCCCCCCCCCCCCCCCCCCCCCCCAACCCTACCCTACCCTTGCTTGAAATGAAATGTCATGCAGCACCACATCATCTGCTCTTTTCCTTCCATTACTGACAGTACACCCACTGCTTGAAATGTCATGCAGCCCCACATCATCTCCTTTACTAATCTATAGGTCGACAGCCAGATGCTCATATACATGTTCCACTAAACTTGGTCATGGGGCCTAAAACTTAGCATCCTCAGCTTGACATTAATATTTTTAAAAATTTAAGGGAGCTATGGTCATTTTCAATTCATACCTAAAGCTTGACACAGTATTGTTGTATTATATGAAGTTTGACTTGTGTGGAGATTACAGGTTACCTGGACTTCTCTAACCACCTCCTGATCATCTGCTTCTGCCAGCAACTTCACATCTTGTTTGCTGATGACGTTACTCCAATCTGGATCATTCAACATAGGTTTGGAATGTAAAGAGCTCACATAATACTGTCAACTGTCATGCTTACATACTGAAAAAATTAACAGACCTGCATTTGCTGCTGCCACAATCCTTAATGCTCGGTGAACTATGTTCTGTGATTTGCTGAATAGGAAGTCTGAAAGGAACTGAGGAGGGTGATGTTCCACAAAGTAATCTTAGCACTATGACTGTTGTATCTCAATGCTTAAGAATGGGAATTATAATCTTTTAACATTGCTTTGTGGAACAGGCCTAGGCAACATTGTTATTAGCTGGTTCAAATGTGGGGTTGGATCTGGAGTCTTGTGACAACCTATTCTAGTTGAAAAAGCTGCTGAAACAGAATTATAAAGACAAAAGAATCATAACTGCCAAATCCATGAAACACTAAAATCTTGCTTAATGGTGAAGATGTCTAATATAACAAGTCAGATAGGTCTTACTGATCAACAAATCTTAAATTTATTAGCATGACATGTCAACGAAATAAATCACTATCAAAGAATCAAAATTGGTAGAAATGTTACAACTGATCAATCTATTGCTTCACAGTGATTCACTTAATGTCACTGGCAATAAATTGTTGATAACTTAGGATAAACTGTGATATATGTCGCTATATTAATTCTCCATTTCAATACACATGATATATGATATAAAATAAAGTCAAATGAGCTTGTTTTGTGGCAGGTTGTCCGTCTGTCATTAACTTTTCAACATCTACCCTGAAACTACAAGGGCTATACAGCATTGACATTCATATATTTTCAGCTAAAAAACCACAAATGAACACCAAAATCATGAAAAGTTCACAGAGCGAAAAACGCATTTTGAGAGAATTTAAGAGCATGATCCAAATTAAGTCAACATCTAAAATATCACAGAAAATGGAACACATGTGTTGAGCCCTCCTAATATCTGCAAAAATACTAAATTTCATCACATTTTGAAATTAAATGGTGGAATAATGTCCATAAGAAACTTCAGTATGGCCAAAGTGTAAATCAAGGACTAAAAATATAAATACTGCAAAAAAGGAACAGATATTTGTTGAGCTACACATCAGCGGTAGAAACTTACATTTTTAGTCCACAAGTCCTTATAATGATAACATGTAGTAAAACCCTTCAAAATGGCAAATTTCTACTAGTCCTTCTGATACCTTAAATATAGGGTAGTTTGGCAAGGACTACAGGACTACTGTAACCTTAGGTTCCGGGTACTTTACCCTTCTACCTTTGGTCACTTGTACTTATCAACTATTCCTTGGTTCTAGCGATGATGTAGCTCTCTCAAAATCACAAGTCAGCTGGTTTGCTCAAGTCCTTTTTATTTATGATAGAATTAATCATAAATATACACACATGGTCCTCAGATAAGTTCTTGTTGTTGCCTGAATTGCTTAAGTACAACACATACCTAGATGATGCGTTGAAGAGCCTGATGGTTTTTCTGATGAACATTTAACTCTACTTCTTTTCTGACCCGGAATTCCAATCTACAGAGAGGACCGCTCTGTTCAGCCGTGAGCTTCCGAATCCCCGCACCACTCTCGGGCCACTAACAAAATACTATCGATGATAATTTTAGCTCCTCCCACCGAAATCATATTTGACATCATGAGAAATGAGTCATAACGCTCACTTCTCTATGAACCCCAATTCCCATTTCAATCAGTCTTTCTATCAAGTTCTTCTAACCAAACACTCAACTAATTTCCTAAATTAATGGTCAAATCATTGGTCAACCGAACATACCCACAACTCAAAACAACCCTAGATGTAAACCCAATACTCTGTCAGACTGGAAGGCACCGAAAAGACATTCCAGTCACGTAGTAGCACTCAGAAATATTTGGTCACATCAATACTAACAATTTTTGTTCCATCCATTCATTTCCCTTCTGACCCGTATACTGCAAGACCGGATTCTACTAATTTCATCGTACTAATGAAAAGTTATCTCTATCACTTAAGAGAAGCAAAATCAATAATCGTTTGCCCTGGTGTCACTTCTCTCATATGCGTCCATATTTTACCCAAAAGCTTTACTTAGTAAACTACATTTTAAGTAAATACCTAAAACCCTTTTTCTAAAATACCCTGGTTATACTACTGCCAATTTCTAACGCTGCACATGTACAAAATTTCAATTAATAATTGACTTTCACTTTGTGTTGGTTCATTGTAGCACGATAGTTTGGAAGTGCATTTCTTCATGTTATTCATTTGGATGGGTCGTAGCGAGGATATTTGTGAACACTCATGCAGTCAAACTCTCTGATGTTTCTCAATGTATACTGAAATGCTGAGTTCAAGACTAAAGGGTCTAAATGTTCAGAAAGAACGCTTCTGTATATACATAAGGGTCAAATGTCTTAGATTTATCAAAACTCAAAATATGCACACAAAAATGTATTAAATATTATAGCAAGTATTACTTGCTGAAAAGGCAGTGTATTTGGAGAGAAAAAAGACATTTTTTCAATATGGCCCCCTATGTAAAACATATTTATGATGTCAAAGAATCATGTAACTTTGCACATCTATATTTCTAGTCTCATGTCTTCTTCAATTCACCCAGTATGACAGAAGTTTCTCAGATTAAAAACTGTCAATCAAAAAACCCTTTACGGTATGAACATGATGAAAGAATATTAAGGTGTCTACAGACCAGGTCCCTGATTCACACAGCTATCTTAGCTCTTAGAGTATTGTCACTCCAATACTTCAACACAGACTTATGACAATCGTAGCAACTACTTTGTGGAATGGGGCCCTGTGTAGGTTGGTCTTCCTGATGAACATAATTTGTTATTTCTTCCTTCATATGTATCAGATGTTATTTGAAACAAAGAAAAAACTACTCACAAATGTAATAAAGTCCATACTTGGGGACTCGAAGTTCCTGACACAACAGCTCCACATTCTCCTTGCTGGGTCGGAGGAAGGCAATGCACTTGAGATGCTTCATGGTCTCGCGGCCACTTGTGTCCAATCTTTCAAATAGGTACACCTCTTTCTGCAGGATCTCAGATTGGGCATATACCATGCTTACAACACTAGTCTAAACAGCAAGAAAAACCCAGATTCAGTGTCTGTACAACATTATGTGCATAAGGAAGCATGGTCATCAAAATGGTAATGTGAGCAATATCAGCATCAATATGATCACCTTAAATTGACTGTGTAAACATGTTTTTGGATATGTCTACTGCACGGTGAGTGACCTTCACTTTCAACATCATCCAATCACACAAGGACATTACCGGTACTTGTTGAGAACACAATGTGATGTTACAAATATAAAGTCTCCAAACCATGCTTACAATATGTTGCCAATGCAGTTATTTAAAAGTCATTTCATGAGCGATAGACTTTTAAAATGGCCTTGACATTTTTTACTTTATAATTTCAATATATTGCATATATTAACCCATTTACTACTCAGATCTATTCCTGCCTTAACAAAATTGACAGAGGATTTGATCATAGTTTACACTTGATGGGAAAGGGGATCCTAGAGATAAGGATAGAGTCAGGGTAACCTAGTCTTACCTTAACCTGAAACTGCCATGGTTTCCTTCAACCTAACATCAGGAACAATTTAATGAAGTGCACTAGCTTCCACTGGACATTGTATTCCGACTCTACATGCAAGGACACAAGTGTGTGTGATCTGCTGGTAACATGGCACACTGTAGTTATTTTCTGCAGACAGACCAACAGACAGGCGGACACACTGATTCCATAACTAATGTTTTTGCGGGGAACAATGAACTAATAATCTAATGAAATGATATACACATGGGTTTTCAAAAGGACTTCATAAATAGATATTTACTCATTGAGATGATTGAGACCTGTAAATTTCAAAATGGCGACTGTGAGACCATCTTGGATTTATGAATGAGGTTATATTACTGGACCTTGTGCAGATTACCACACATAGTTTCATAAAGAGCACTAATTAGTATGGGAAAATAGTCTATCTAAATTTTGACCAATCAGAGGACTCCATTCCGTTGTTATTGTAATAAAATGTGCTTTGTGTGCAAAAATATATCTTAATATATCTTGTAACGAAATCAAACAACTAAATTTCAAATGCCTCGGAGCTGACCAATCAGCTCTGCAGGTGCTGCTTTCCGTTGCAGTGGAAACAAGGCAGTGATGAAAATAAAGTCATATTGTATGGTATTCCTAGAGACACCTTTGCACCAAGATTTAACAAAATTGGCTAAATGACATGTGAGTAATGACCACTTAAAGAAAACCTGTAAATAAAGACAAGGTTGTCGTTGAGAGGTTGTTGGAATATGAAAGATGCAGTGCACTTACACAAGGTCCATGAATCTACTATATGTTGTTCCTGAGAAAACACACGAAGTTGAAGGAAGAATATATTCTATTATGAATAGTTATAAGAAACAGAGCAAAAACAATGAAAAATAAGAACATGGCAAAAATACCATATATTTTCAATCAAACTTTGTTATAAAATTCTTTTACAATAAGGGTGATATGTATAATATTAACCCTGAATGTAAAAACTTCAAAGCGTTGCGGGGTATTACTCTTAATGTAAAACTTTTTACATTAAGAGTTGACATGTAACCCGTAATGGACATATTTTTTACATTAAGAGTAACTTTTACATTAAGGGTTGTAACAAAGCTGACAACGCATGCGATGTACAGAGTAAACTGTCATCAGTAATGTTTTTTCATTCACATGATTTGAGGCAAACTGAAGAGGAAGCTTGTATGCTTTTCCTACAGAGGAGTTACAAAATACTAATTGCCAGCATGATTGCATTAGAAGCCAGTATTTATCAAAGCTAGTTTACAGTGTAGATATACCTCGGTCGTATGAAGCCAATCACTCTCCTACCCAGAGTTCCTTGCGGCCAGCCTCGTACTCCTGTCACATTGTCACATCTTACACAGTTCATTCAAGTGTTTTTCAAGTTTCATTTTGGATGAGTGTACACATAACTTTCATTGCGAGGATATCCTAAAACATGAAAAACTGTTTCCTTTTGCGTATTTATTCTCCACATTTTGTCATCAAAGAACTACGGCAAGCTAGCAATACAGTCACTTTGATGTGTAAAGCTATAATATTGTCATGCATCTCTCTGTTGCAGTTGTAGTAGTATGTCTAAATATTTATGCAAAACAATATGTAAAGTGCACTGAATGACTTGCATTAGGCTCATCTGTTCAAATTTCAGGATAAGTGTGTTTGTTTACAAATAAGAGAAAAGTCTTGTCACGTGATAAGCCTACACCCACAGTCTGGGGACTGGAGCAGAACATTCTGTTGCGGAATAAGGTGAGAAGAGCCGAGTAAGCTGGGCAGTTATTGGTTATTGTTTACAAAGCTTCAGAATGGTCAACGTCCTGTCCCTTTAAGCGCTGCTAGAGGTTCTTAAGCCACATTGGACCCCTAATGTAGGTGATATTCTTGATACTCAGGGAGACATTTTAAATGTATAGGAGAGACACACATAACTGTGATATTGATTTGTTGCTACTTTCTTGACAGCTGTCATTTCAATTATGAACGTGTTCTTGGCTCAAAATTTTCAAGTTCCACAAGAAAACCAACGGTTGCTTTCAAGTGTTGCTCGCTCATTCTATTTGTAAGTATTGCTTCATAAAACTTAACACATTCATTCTTCATATCATGCTTTTGTCCTTTTTCGTTTTAAAGTCCTGGACCCAGTTGTATCAAACTTTAATGATGCATTAACATGTAATTAAACCTTCATTAAACTAATGTATCATTAAATCCAGCTGTACTAACATTTTAATGGCGTTGTGCTGTCATAAGCACGTCATTAATGAAGGTTCTGGGGCATCATTAGCGTGTCATTAAAAAACAAACATGGCAGCAAACATATTGTTTGAACGCTTAGGACACACACAAGGAAAGACCGTGTTTTCAGAAAACGAACTCATCACCTCGAATCCATGAGCTTTGAAGAAGTAGGGGCACGCTACCGTTTTTGGAAGGCAAGCATCAGATATATCTGCGATCTTGTGAGAGATGAATTACTGCCCAAATTTGCAAGATCGCACACACTTAGTGTTGAACTACAGGTAAATGTTTGATAATTAACACGTCGTCACTAGAAACTCAGCAAGTTTGAAATAAATATATAATTATACCGCCACATCGGGCACATTTATAGCGGCAATCTTTAAATGAATCATACGCAGTTCTTCGTGGGTCTGCTCACTAACACGTGTATCGGTACAGTCATATTTGCAGCCTAATGATACCAACCTTGTAAATATATTTCACAATTGGAAGTAATGTAAATTCATGGATGCTTTTCACTTCACCCAAGAAAGATACGTTTTTAACTTGGCGTTGTCAGCCAGGATCAGTTTCATAGAGGGGAGTTACTCTAATGACTTAAACTAAATGTTTCGTGCATACTGAAGAGAACAGTTTTGCATGTTCGATCCTGGCCAAAAGATCCTTTAATTATTAAAGCATGCACATCTTATATCAATCATTAACACTTTACTTACTGAGACATAATGAAACACAGCAAAATAAAAAATAACAAAGCAGATATAAGTATTATGGAAATATTTGAAAATTGGTAAAACCTATCATTAGCCTCTTTATAACCATTTTATCAGGTTCTGGTAACCCTACGCTTCTTTGCAAGTGGAAGTTCCTGCAAATCACTGGCGACACAATAGGCACAGACAAATGTGACAACGGCCTCACGAGTTGTTAGGAAGGTTTCCCTTGCCATCGGGTCTCTTGTGCCCAAGTTTGTTACCTGGCCGTCCAAGATGGAAATAGCCAACATTAGAAAGGAATTCTACAATATATCTCGTTTTCCTGGAGACATTGGTGGAACACATGTACGGATACAGGCACCATCAGACAACGAACCTGCCTTTGTCAATAGGAAAGGCTACCATTCGATCAACGTTCAAGCAATGTGTGACAGCCAAGGTGTGTTAAATAAATTCTTATTTATATAATAACAACTAAAATGTCACTGTAAAACCTGTGCATGGAGCATACACGTCTACCCAAATAGCCTCTCTTCTTTCGTGGGTAACTGCTGCACAACTTACTGTTCTTCAACAACTCGCTAAACAACAGCTAAATATCGGAGCTGCCGAAATTCTTGTTTCTATACTAAGGTTTAGGTGGATACATTGCCATTTTGACAGATGACCGGAAGTAACGCTTACGTGTTTACCTCAGGGAATTGTGGGATATATTTAGGGAAAACCCTGAATTTAATGACAGGTTAATGAAAACATTTACATTAAGGCATCATTACATAATGATATGCTAATAAACGTTTGATAAAACCGATTTTAACTAATGGTGCATGAAGAATTAAATGTATCATTAGGATTTAATGTGGCCATTAGTTAATGAGGCTTTGATACAACCGGGTCCCTGGCTTAAATTTTGATAAAATGTTATTCAAACGAAACAGGCAAAATCCGAAAGTAAACTCAGGTTTTAAAAACTTGCTGTCTCGGTACTGATGAGACTGTGACATCAATCTCAGGGGCCCAGTCTCTTTATTATCAGATCTTAGTTCTCGCTAGCGGCAGCGACAAATTTTTCCCCAAGATCTAATTCTTATGACATTGGTCTGACATGGTCGGATGGTTACTTACAGTATCTTTATCCATTAATAACACTTTCATTCCGGGTCCACTGTCGTCAATCATTTTGCTGATATACTGCTTAACTGCTAATATAACGTTCATATTTATAGTTTAAGTAGATCAACGTTAAAACAAAAACAAGGCTCTTCCTGGTTTCCTACACTTAACGAGGTTATCTCCCTTGATTCGATTCTAAAATGACGAACTGATAAAAAAAACGGAATTCGACCCTAAAGTATGCCCCTTCAAATAATCGTAAGCAATAAATCAATGGTGCTTTTTAAAATATGACTGTTTGATAGTTATCATCGGATCATCTATATAATTGTCGGCATGGTGCGCCGCGTTCGTTGGATCAAGTCCTTCACACACAGAATCTTTTTTGAACAGGGCTGTGACTATTTATTGATAGTATCATGTTCAACCAACGAAATAATGTACAGAATATACTTGATTGCCGAGTCATAACTAGAGTAACAAAACTGTATGAAACCTTTCATTACACAATACATTTCTCTCTTCCAATAGTTTTACTGATGCTGTATTCATAGAGCTGGCTTAACTTTCTTTTATATAATTTAGATTGGTTTTGGTTTTATAAAATACATATTCCACAGTTATGTGGCAGGACTAGGTCAGCCTGCGACTGTAGAGCCGGACCAATCTTTCTAATCAATATTAAAAAATCTCGCAACGTTTTCATAAATATTATTTTATTATATATAATGATAAACAGCGACTAAAATACGCTATCTGAGAGTCTCTGATTTAAACAAGCTGACAGCATGCTGAAAGCGAAGTGACCAATCCATAATGGCGGATATCGTAGCCCGAACATTAAAATGTTGCATTGGTAAACGGAAACGAAATTGACATTGAATAAATCATGCAAGTGCCTTTTCTGTACAGGCAGTTACAAATCCTGTGTTTGCTTTCAGATTCGAAGTTTGAAAGTAAACATATGAGGTCATTCTTCCAGGAACATTCATGTCAAGTTTGTGTGTCTTTTTATAAAATTTGTTTCCAAACAAAGTAGATTGTATTAAATGAAGATATGTCAAACTTTTCTTCTTTTTCTCTTATGCTATTTGTTGCTTCTAATATGATATTTATTGCCATTTTTTAAACATATATTTTGTAAGAAAAATAATAATAATGCCATGAGATATTTTAGCACAAGTATAAAGTGGGAATGGGACTACTGCATCGAAAGCGAATTATTCCTATATGAGTTAACACTATTTGTATTGTAACAATCATTATATTTTCGCGATTTTCGAAAATCCACGTAGGTGAAAGAGTTGTTATATGTGTAACCTCTGCCGTAAGTCTAAAAAGTAAAATGTTTCTGGGGCATCAACGCGTCAGTCCTTAATTCTTATCGACGTCTTAAACAAAATAACTTAATTGTCTTTTTATACTGTCGCCCAAATCCAGTTAAATGATGAAAATATATTTGAAAAAATCATAAGAAAAAAAACGCAAGTCTGTCCAGTGGAGGGCAGTGGATATATATCTTCTGTGTTGTTTCAACATATTTATATTTAAATTGGGCACAACTTATTTCAACTTGGGTATATAACTTTCATTAACAATATTTACACGAAACATAAATACACTGTTAGGAAATGTTCAGAAATTAAGGAGTGTAAACACAAGGACGGGGAAGTACAAATGGAGATTATTGATAGATATTTTTGGAAATTAAATCTCTTTTGAAAATATATTTGTATAGGTGTTACCTACACAGCCATTTATTATTAGTTCAAATCTATGTACAATTTGTGTTACTGACGCAAACAATGACCTCGTCGTCCAGTGGACATTCCTTTTGAAGTTATCTCATGACAGACCTCGCAGACAATTTTACATGTCGTATTTTTGTTTTGATTTTATTATATATTGTATGTTCTTATTTCACGTGGTTTGTTTGTTTATTACTCTCTAGTTTAGTGAGGGGGCGGGAAAACATCTCTTTGCTTACCCGTACCCATGTTTCAATAACCCTTACTCAGTGGCCCTTGCCTTGAAAAAGCTTACCCGTACCCAATAGAAATTGATATTATTAATACTAATATTTAACACAAAGACATAGTTTTATCTAACATCGACATGACCCTCAAGAGTTTCTTGACCCAATATGCTTAAACAAAAGCGGGTAGTTCACTTAATTGATTGAGCCAATTTGTAAAACACTCATTGTTGACATTTACTATCAAAATAATGAGATTTTTTATAAAACGCTAAACTTTTGATAATCTGAAAACTGCCATGTTTAGTTAACTGAATGAAAAGCATGTTAATAACTGAATAAGCCAATCGCTACCGATAGGTAGTTTGTAATAACAATGGCTAGCTTCAAGGCAGTCGGAATTACTGAAAACAACATCCGATATATTTCACAAACTGGTCTCTTGGACGGAAGTTAGCATAAATATGATGTTGTCTACGTCAGGTCGATGTCATTCACCAAGACTGAAGTATAAATTTGTATGAATTGAATGAAATTGAATGAATATGTGCATCAAACACTTTTTTGTATGTTTTCCTTTGTCTCTTCTGGTTAAAACAATCCTGTTTCTCCACCACTTTGTTTTCTAATAACAAACACGTACGGGTCAGCCAAATGTATAGGTACGGATCAGCCAATTTTAGGTACGGCTTAACCGAATTTGGGGACGGGTCAGCCAATTTTAGGTACGGGTCGGCCAATTTGAGTACGGGTCAGCCAAATGTCGGTATATGGTCTCTGGTATGGGTAAGCCAAAATCTCAGGTATGGGTTACGGGCTGTTGAAAGTACGGGTTGACTAGTCCCCTTCTCCAATATGTACATCGCTTCACATTTTTTAAGATGAAGGAAATAAAATATATGTTTTTGAATATTACACGCATTGCTAAATTTTTATGAAGTCCCCGTCTAAACAGTAATAGACAAAGGGTCACGTAAATATATATGTGGTGACTTTATCATTGTAACTTTTATGTAATATGCAAAGTTAGCGATGTTTTCTTCTTTCTGAACAGTGCTCCATCCTGTTTCAAGTATGTGTTTGGGTAATCCTGTAGCTATGCGTGCAACTTCAAACGGACTGTATATATTTACTGCGAGTGTGCGTTAAGTTTTCTCATAGAACATAGGTATATCGTGTTTGAAGTAGATTTTATCACTTTCTTGATAAGAGAATACCATTTACCGCCAGAAGTAATGACACAAGTTTTGTTTTTCGGTCTTAGATTTTGACATAAATAATATGGCTCACATAGAAATTACAGTTTCATCGTAGATATACAACATATAAGGAATCTAACAATAACACGGGGATTCAGCCAATTTGGTCCAAATTTAGTGTTGGAATATATCAGTTTATGGGACTTTAGCCAATTTGGTCCAGTTTCAAAACTGTGGAAAAATCTTCAAAATTCAGTCAAAATTTGAAAATTCATTCTGGGATGTTGCCGTTTAGTCTGGTTATGTGTATTTAGGCAAGATATACATATAAAAGAAGAGAAAATTATATTCTTCGAAATCATCAGTTTGTGGGACTTTAGCCAATTTGGTCCAATTTCAGTAGTAGTATAGGTAATGGGGGTTCTGGCTCACTTCCACTGGAGCCAGATTTATTACCTATACTGCTACTACAGGGGGGATTTTTTATGCCAAAATGATCATGCGATTTAATGATAGTCATGAGTTGTATTAAACGAAACATCAATATTAATTAATAATGGATAAAATTTACTATAGCCCACGAGGATATTGGAAAGGTGTAGGAGCAATAAAAAAATTAGCCACAGCGGCTAAGGTATCTAAAGATGTGGCCAAGGATTGGTTAAAGAAACAAGCGATGTGGCAAATATATTTACCGGCACCGCGTTATATACCGAGGAAGAAGTTTGATATTTTTACAACGAATGAAGTTCATCAGGCTGACCTCTTGTTTCTTCCCCACGATAAGGTAAAACGCAAAACGTATAAATACGCTTTAACCGTAGTGGATGTGGCTAGTCGATACAAAGAGGCTGAGCCATTAACCTCGAAAGAATCAACAGAGGTAGCTAATGCACTGAGTCGCATATATAAACGCGGACCGCTAAAATGGCCTAAGCTATTTCAAGTAGATCCCGGTCGTGAGTTTATGGGATCGGTAACTAAACTGTTAACAAAGCCCAATGTCGAAATCGTCCGTGGTGAAAGAGAGGCCCACCACAGTCAAGCTATCGTCGAAAGATTTAACAGGACATTAGCAGAACGTTTGTTTGGCTATCAGTATGGGATCGAAATGAAATCCGAGCGATTGAGATCAACCGAATGGGTGACACGATTATCAGCCGTTGTATCAGCGCTGAATAATGAAGTAACAAGATTAATAGGGAAGAAACCATCCGATGCTATTAAAATGAAATCCGTGACTTCCGAATCTTCAGCACCGAGGAGAGGCAAAGAACGAAAACTTCCGGATAGAGTAAGGGTAAGATATTTATACCAGGCAGGTGAACTCGAAGGAGGCCTACGTCGCGCAACCGATCCCATATGGTCCCTTAAGACGTATAACATTAGTCGATTGGTTACGAAAGAAGGAGAGCCTATTCTTTATCTTCAAGATGGACCGGGTAGGGCATTTGTACGAGAAGAGTTGTTCATAGTTCCCGACGGTACGGTATTACCACCATAACCATAAGCATAGTTAGTTACACCATCATTATCAATCCATCTCTTTGTATCTAAGGGGGATAATGATGTCTTGTTCATTCTTAATCCATATATCCTATGATTGTAACTTCTTAAAGAGTTCATCTCGTGTTTGAACGTTCTACCGTTGAATAATGATTCTTTATACTGTTCGTGTTTGATATGCTTTTTTACAACATACTTCTTAACACCCTTAGCTTTTCTTATCTCTCCATTATCGGACTTCTTTATAGAATACATCTTAGGTCTTAATCCCACATACTCCGCTATAGGGGTCCCAGCACATTCATCCTTCATCT